TGGAGGAGATTAAACAAGCCAGGAAAATATTTGAGCCACGCGGTTAAATAACCAAGGAGGTCACGAGGGTGTGCAGGGTTGCCAAGGAGTGGGATGGCCAGACAAAAATGCGTGGAGGCAGGGGTCTGGGATCAGCTAGTGGGAAGGAGGTGGCAGGCGTGCTTGTCAGGGACAACAGTGGCTGAGGCCCCGGCTCTGAGCCCCTTTTCCCCCAACATCACACCCCAGCCTCAGGAGGAGGGGCTCTGCTGGCCCAGACCCCACACCCAGGATGGAGGTTGTAGTGCTAAGACAGGTTTTTTTACTAAGTACACTAAGTACAGCCCTCCCCACCGCTCTTCCCCAGTCTCTCCCCTTCCCATATGATCTGTCCAGGAGATACCTTGAAAGGGCCCTGCCTTGGGGGCCCCAGCCACTAGGAGCCACTAGCTGGCCCAAGTGCTCAGTGGCTGGATACCAGGGCAAGAGTGATGTGGTCTCCATGAGCATCTGCAGCCCCCTAGGGTGGCCCTAAGTGGAGGTACCAGAAGGGTGGGCTGCCGAGGGTGTTGCTGAGGGCACCTCCTGGACTGGGGGTTCCAGGCCCAGTCTCCTCAAAGGAGACTCCCATTGGCCATGCTGAGGGCGGGAGCATGGAAAGGGAGGACTGGAAGAACAGCTCCCCTGCCCCCTCCTCACATCCCCCACAAAAAAATCAGGATGCTCAAAGTAGCCTTTCCCAAGACTCTGGGGGTCTGCATGCCTCCAAGCCTCTGTTATCCCCTGCCCACCCAGGCAGGAGGGAGCCTGCAGGAAGCTGCCTGGAGTATTATGGGAGAGCCCCGCCACCTGTCACCACTTTCTCACCTAGTTGTCACCAGGGCCACAGGGGGCAAGGGGAGGGGGGCGGGGCAAGGGAGAACCAAGAGGCCCTGTCCCAGCTTTGGTCCCTGTTACTTGATGCTCTTGTTCCCCACAAGGCAGACGGGGGTCTCCAGTCATCACCCCAACAGGCTCCAGGCAATCAGGACCACCAAGGCTTCTTCCTCAGTGATGACCAGTCAGGTGAGCAAAGGCAGTCTCCACCAGCGTCTGCCTCCCCCAGCCCAAAGCCCCGGCCAGCCTCCTGCGCCTTTGCAGTCCTTTCCTCCTGCTTCCTCGAGGAGAGGCCTCCCCAAACCCTGGATGAGTGGAGAGGGGCTCCCTCCCTAGGCTCGGCGCTGGAGGCCCTCTCACCCTTCCTCCCCATATCCTCAGAGCCTGGGTGAGAGCTAGCTGAGTGCCTAGTGCTGTCACAAGAAGGGGAATACTGGCCAAGCCTCTGGGGTTCCCCAGCAAGGCTCCAGGGAAACCACTAGGTTTTAGCTTCCTGGACAGTGAGGCCTGGGCTGGATGTCCCCACCCAGCCAGCCCCCAAAGCTGGGCCCCGGGCCCCCTCCCAGGGCTATAGCCTTATGGGTCATGGATACCAGACTTCTATGGAGACAGAACCTCATAGTCCTGGGCATGCAGGTGAGAAGAGCCACTCCTCCCGCCCTGTGTTCCCATTGCAGGTAGGGGAGGGGCATAGGCTCAGGTGCGGAACCAGCTAAACCAAGTTCAGGCTTTCCTTTGCCTCCTGCAGGTGCAGCCCCTTCCCTGAGCCTCTCGGATGCATCTGGCCTCTGGCCTGAGCTGCTACAGCAAGTGCCCCAAAGGCCAAGGCACAGCCCTCCAGACCCTCAGGGAGACCCAGACTGCTGGTCCCGGGAGCTGGGCTCCAGGCTAGAGCAACTCCAGGCCCAGATGAACCGGTGAGTGCCCTGCAGGCCAGGTTCTGGTGGCTGCGGAGAGCAAGCCCAGCAGCAGGTGAGGCACGGATGCCCCCTCCTGGTGGTTCAGGAACCTCACGGGATGTCCTGTAAGTTTCAGAATGGCCAGCCCCATTTAACAGCAGGCCTGTAAGCACAATTCCTTAGATGGCTTGTCCCAGCAAACCCTGGAACATGTTAAGGAAGCTTTCTTGAGGGAGGGGCATAACTTCCTGCAGAAACAAACTTCAAGGGCCCTTGGGAAAGGGAGCTGTGGTGGCAGAATTAGGGCTTAGGGGCAGCACAATCCTGGGTTCAAATGCTGACTCTGCCTCTTACCAGCAAGAGTGTGGGCAAGTTACTTAATCACTCTGTGCCTCAGTTTCCCCTTTCAGAATACCTATAGCAAAGCTTCTTGATGAAGACCGAATGACATGCAGACGGCACCTGGTCACTTATTTTCAAAGTGAGGGATGTGCTAGGGGACTTTGGGCAGAGGCTATGGACTGTAGCAAGGAAATGGCTTCAGATAGGCCCCAGGCTGCCTCTCCAAGCAGCAGGAACTGCATGTGGGCTACCACATTGGGAGCTGTCCGCAGGTCCTGAACTGCCAACCCTAACCCCAACCCTGGCCCTGATCTTGACCCTGACTGTGGCGTTCTGTCCTGTTTGGCAGGCTGGAATCCCGCCTGTCCTCAGACCTCAGCCGCATCCTACAACTCCTTCAGCAGCCCCTGCCCCAGGGCCACACTGGCTATATTCTGGGAGCGTCAGCTCATGACCTGGCCTTGTTTCCTGTGGCCTCAGCGACTCAGAGTCCAGGAACAAGGCTGCCCCAGGGTGGCCTGCCCCCTGCACAGGTGAGCAGGTGAGGTGTTCCCCAGGGGCTTGCCTGGAGGCTGCTGCATTCCTTCCCCCACCCCTTCTTTCTTGCCCTTCTCAGGCCCCATGCTGTGGTGACTTGGACCAACGTGAGCCGAAGCACAGGAACGCCTCCTCCAGGATGCCTCACCGGGCCATGGCAACGGACAAAACTCTGACACTGTCCTCTGAACTGGAGCATCCTGAGGGGCTCCTGTCATCCCTGGCCTCACCTCTGCATCCCCTGGAGGTACAGGGACTCTGTGGTCCCCGCTTCCCCTCCCTCCCGGAATACCTCGACTCTGTCCCCAAGCAGCTGGAGTTCCCGAGACATGGCTCAGACCCTGGATTTGCAGGGAGTTGGAGCCACTGAACCCCAAGACAAAAGACACCATAAGGGGATTGAAGGTGGGTGAGGTGAGAGTGAAGGAGTTGAGGGAGGCAGAGAGCTGCCAAGACGGACCTCTGAAAACCATTCTCTTTGAGTAGCTACAAACCGCTAACCCAGGTGACCCAAGATGGCAGAAGGGAGGAGGCTCAGGATTTGTCCCAGCCTCCAGGCCTCTGTTTAGATAGCAAGCCTGAAGGAGGGGCCAGCACTTTGGGTGTGGAGTTAGCTTACAGAGAGTGGGGTCAGTGAGGAAAAGACAAGTTTCTGATCTTCTGTGTGAGAGAGCCTTGCTCTGGGCCCGGTGAAGTCACCTCCTGGCTCACAACTATCCACTGCCTTTCAGCCCAGCACCCCAAATTGGTCAGACCTCCCCTGTGAGAGCCTGTGTCCTGGCTGGAGATGCAAGTGTCCTCTGTAGTGGACACATCAGGGCACAGTGCTCCCACCCTCAGTGGCTCAGTCCCTGATGGCTTTGTGATGACCTCTGGGACTCCAGCGGACGGTGGAGTGTATCACAGCTAATAAAGTCTGCACATTTCACCTTGGGCTGGGTATGAAACTTACCTGAGGGTGATTATGTCCTTGACTCTGCCATGACTCCAACGACTCGGTTGTCTTCTCCAAGCCCTTCTCACAAAGAGCTGTGTTGGGGACTTGAAGGTGGCTCTGCTGGACCCAGGAGCCCCTGAACCATGGAGCTCTTAGCCAGGCTGGGGTGAAGGGGAGTGAGAGGCACTGGCTTGGTGACCATTGGGAATCCTGACAACAGCCAACACTTTCATAACAGTCACCCTGTTCAGCGCACTGTGCTGACTGCCTTCAGATATTAGTTTATTTAATCCTCTCAAAAACCCTAAGGGGTCACTGTTATTCTCCCCGTTTTAGAGACGTGGGATCAAAAACAGACAAAAAACTTACACAAGCACGACTGGACTTTTGGTACCATTCTGCTTCCTGGTCTGGGTGCTGGTTACATGTGTGTGTTGTAAGAATATGTGCACTTTTATGTATAAATTATACTACAATAATAATAATAAAAAGGAATCTTGCCCACAATAGAGGAAAAGAAGGATGTAATTTCAACCCAAATGGTTTGGCTTGAGAATACGCACAGTTAACTACCCCACTGAAATGGACTGTACCCGGTCACTGGCCTTCAGTCCTCTTTGCTCCATTATTCCCTAAAAGAATTTGAAAATGTATTTGCCTCTTCGCACATTTTTAAGTTGACATGTGAAGTATTTCATTATTAAGTTTAAACAGTTGTAAAGGATGTAATTTCCAGTGTGTTGTATATATTGACACTTTACAAGCTGTTTTATTGCTATGGATCCATTTTGATCCAAATAGCATAGTGATTTGTGAGCCAGCATCATTCATTTTAAAAACACTAGCACAAGCACTTCTTTAACATCATTTATTTTTTCTCATAATTCCATTCTCTTCTCAGTTTATACTACATATAATTTATTATCCTGCTTTAAAGTCTATTATTCATAATCTCATCATAACTATTTGCAACAGATATGTAAATTGAAAATATATAGTATACATTGAAATTTTAAGATTAATTTTTATAACAGTACTAAGGCTTTAAGGGTTACACTTATTAGTACAGAGTTGTTCAAAACAACATAAATATATATTAAATTTTTATAGAAACTGAAATTTTATTGGAAATGCATCTCTTTCCTCTCAGTTCATGTGTGGATGAATACCTTTTTTTAAAAAATTAGAATAAGACAAGGTTCAGCAACAATTTTGTACCTATTTTTCTTTCCTTTAATAAAAACACAAAACTTAAGCACAGAGAAAACTTGTTCCCATAAATGGACGGGACTGTAGGGGGTTTGTGACATATAGCAGTGTCACTCAGTTCCTTGAATTCTTTCTGAGTTGTCTGATAACAATCACATTTATTATTAAAAACTGTATTTAGTGATACATCACAAGTCAATATAATCCTCCTTTAATTTTGCTGAAAGCAAAGAATCCGAAACCATTTAAACTCAGGACACAAATGTAGAGCTTGCTTAGCTTTTGCTTGGGGATCTGAGGCGGAAAAAAGGATGGTAAGGAACCTTAAAAAAAACTTAGACTCTAAGTTTTTTAAGTCTTAGAGCCACGCTGGTCGGAAAGCTGCCTTATGAAAACCAGCCCTAGAATTCCTAGCATTTCTAGCTGGACGGGAAGGCCTGACTGCATACGGCCCGGCCCCGAGAACACCGGCGGGTCGGTCTGCACGCGGCGTGTCCGCTCCCCTCCGGGTTTGGAGGGGCGTTAGCAGGAGTGAGGAGAGAAAGTGCTTCCCGTTTGGCTCGCCGGACAGACTGCCAGGCCAGGGGTCCCACTCGGTGCCGCGAAATGCAGCAGGCGAGCAGGCCCTGGCCTAAGGCAGCATTTTACTTTTCACTCGACAGAGTAGAGAAGCCGCTCGGAATAGCAGCTGCAGGGTGGAAGCCAAAGGAGGTCACACTAGAGGTTTCGTTCTCAGAGACTTGGCCTAGAACTTGGAAGCCTGGAGCTCCACACTCTCGCCTCTAGGCCACCCACGCCCCCATTCACCCGCACTGCGCTGTTATCTCTCTGACTGACATCTTTGTCAGCCAATGACCTTTGGGACTGAGGAAGAGCCTGCCCCCTGGGATTAAGTGGGACAAGTAATTGGAAAGACAAACATTTGCACCAATAGCGAGGAGGTTCCAAAAGCTAAAGGTACAATAGCCAATGAAGAGAAGGAACACGTCCTAAGTGACGTGTCAGGCAGCCAACGCCCGGCGCCACTGTGGGGAACGCGTGGCTTCCGTTCCGGGAGGGCGGGGCAACGTCTCAAACGGAAGGTGATTGTCGTCGGTGCTTGAGCAGGTTTGAAACTGGGGGTCGGACCCGGCGGCTGTCGTTGTCTGTCGTTGTCTGTCGCTGAGGCCCCGCTTCCGGGCTCGGCCGTCCCTGCCCACCCGGGCCCCGCCTCTCTTCGGACCCTTAGGTCCCAGGCCCGGCTCCCCGCCTGACTCGCGCCCCGCCGGCCGCATCCCGCTGCCGACCGGGCCCGCACTGCGGCCCCGCCGCAGCCACCATGTCCCTGCACGGCAAACGGAAGGAGATCTATAAGTATGAAGCGCCCTGGACCGTCTACGCCATGAACTGGAGCGTGCGGCCTGACAAGCGCTTTCGCCTGGCGCTGGGCAGCTTCGTGGAGGAGTACAACAACAAGGTGGGCCGGGCAGGGGCTCGGAGCCCAGCGGACGGGGAGCGGGCCCCAGGAGCGCCCCCTCCGGGCCGGAGCCCAGACCCAGGACCCTCCCGCGGACTTGCCTTGGCACCACGGAGCGGTTCCTCTGAGTCTGGTCCTGAGCAGAGGGCTTCGCACTGGTTTCATTTAATCCTGGCAGCATTCCTGTGTAGTCAGGAGGGTAGTTACTGATGGGGAAACTGAGGCACGATGTTGTGACGTGCCGGAGTCAGACAGCTATGTCGTGGCAGAAGCAGATCTCAAACTCGAATTTACACCCCATGCTACGCTATGTACCACTCCTACCTCCCGCCTCTCCCGCCTCATTGCTTCAGCCGTGGGGCGGAGGAGGAAAGAGGGAGTGATAACTGGGAAGGAGGATGCTCGCGCTTCAGCCGGTGGTCATTCACTCCTGGCCGCACCGGATTTCTATGGGGGCTGTCCATTTCCCCTCCTCCCGCTCCCAGCCCCAGGTGCTATTCATGGTCACCCGGGTCCCTCTGCCAGGATTGCCATTGCTGCCTCATATCTGTCCTTTAAAAAGCGATCTCTTTTTTGGAAATCTTGGCCTGTAGCCTTGATCCCACTATTGTTGTCTGAATAGAGAAGGACGACACTTGCCATATCTTTTCTTGGCTTCTTCATACTAATACAGATTTGTAACCGTGAGTGGCAAGTATCCGTCAATTTGAGAAGCCTTCATAGAAGTCCTGGTAGTAAAGGGGAAGCGTTTAAGCTGGCAGTGCAGCATACATTTATTTTTGAAAGCTGTTGAGTAAGTCAGTGGGAAGAATTTTCTTTCCTTTACCGCTTAATTTCTTTCTTTTATTAAGAGTAAATGTTGTGATTATTAGGGATCAGAGCAATTGAAAGCTTTGGCTAGCGTGCTTAAAGCACTCCCGCTGGGTAGGCTGGTGCAAGGGGGAAAAGCCAGGCAGTCAAGGATCGGGTCTGTCTGACCCATTGACTAGCTGTGGGAATTGCACGTGTCAGTCTAACTATTTCTGACCCACAGTTTGTTGTAGGAAAGGTGATGGTCCTGTAAAAAGCATTTGAACATTGTAAGTTTGTTTACAGTTCTTCAGGAGCACAGCTGTTTCTCTAGGGTTATGTTTTAACTTCTTCGGAATCCCCTTGGAGAAACTGATAAAAGCGATGGACTCTATTGCCCTGAAGTTACACAAATACCATGGAGTGCACACTGATCTGGAAGTCCACCCGTTACCCACAGAAACCAGAAAGTCCTGAGCAAGACATAACTTTCTTTTCTCTGTTTCCTCTTTCTTCCTTATTATGGCCATAGTGGACAGCAGAGCTGGGAATGGAATTCATGGTCCTGATGTTGAAACCATGTTAGTAAAATTAAGAACACTAGAACTATTGTTTAAGAATACATGTTTTTTAAAAAAAGTAAAATAATGTCTTTTAAAGGGTTTGAGTCTTCATACAAATAGATGTTTTTTCCTTGCAAGTTCTTCCAGAGTTAACTTGAGTAATCAGTAGAAGTTACATTTTTAAGGAAAGACGAACTGAGCCACAGTCTGCTGGTGGAATCAGTGGAGTAATTGGTGCCAAACCTCAGTTTGCAGGAATTTTACCTCAAGGTTTGTCCCTTCATTTAGCAACTGTATGAGAGCTCCTTTGTGCCGGGCACAAAGGCATTGTGGCTTTAGTAGTGTAATGCAAACTCATAATCCCATTTATTATTTACTTTTATTACTTAAAATTATTTTTGTGCCCCCATCTATAAAAGTCAGGGTTTTTAATGTGTTATATGCACACCATGGACATCTTTGGCAATCTGCAATCAAGAGACCTTTTTTCATAATTATGTTTTTTTATTTTATTGATTTTTTACAGAGAGGAAGGGAGAGGGAAAGAGAGTTAGATACATCAGCTGCCCCTG